ATGTCATAATATTTTATTGAAACAGTTATTTTCTAAAGAAATTGGAAATCAAAATTTCCACTGTGGAAATCACTGTGATATTTGCAGAGAAAATCAAGTTAAATAAAGTTTTATTCATTTCTCTATTTTTCATTGTAGACCGTGAAAGTGGGCCTACTGAACTCACCTATGCTGAGATTGAACAGAAATCCACTAAGAAACAGAAGAAAAAGAAAGAAAACAAAGGTAAACCAAAACAAAAGTCTCTGTTCTATTGATTTTATGATCATAACAGTAGCTCCCTTTGATTTAAATTTCTCCCACAACTCTAAATAGTAACAAAAATCACGAAAGTATTTTCCGAAACATCTGTTTGTGTCTGTTCACTGTGAAATTCAGATGATCCATTATGGTCATTTCATGCAGATTACAATGTTTATTTAGACTTAATTTGGTTTAACATTATCATTTTAAAATAAAATAATTATTCATGTATTTCATATCACTGTTGGAAACACATAACTACTAGTGATATTAACTGTTGGCATCTTCTAGGGAACAACACTGAGAGTTGTGTCAGTGTTTACTCTAAACTGAAGTTGGAAATGGATCAAGGTGAGTGTAAAACTAAAATCATCAATCACACTTCACAAGAAAACTGTATCTACTAGTATCATTAGGAAACTAAGAATAAAATGGAATACTGTATATAGAAACAACAAAATAAAAAGTGCATTCTGAATGAATGTACTGTATGTATTTTCAGGTGCTGGATCTAGTGATGTGACTTATGCTCAGGTTAAATAAATGCCTGGAGGAGAAACTTTCAATCCAAAGACGCTGTTGAGCTTAGGTTGAGAAGGGCTGGAGAATGACCAGGATCATCAATGCTTTATTATCTTTGTGATACTGAGCACTTGATGGCAATAGATTTAACAGTACTTAATATTAGTGATGCTGCCTTCATGTGCTGATTATAGGAAACAGGAAAATTACATTTAGTTCTGCACAGTGTAAAAATATGACCCACTGTACTGTTAATATGAATTTCCACAGGTGTGTTTTACCCATAATTTGAATTTAAATTTGCATTACATTATGTTGTGTTTAAGGGTTAAAGGATTTTTCTGTAAACCTACTCTATAGCCTTGCTTGTGTTTGTGGATTGTTTACAAACTGGACACTTTGCCAGTTGTGATATATATGTTAAATATTGCAGTTTAGATGCTTTTGTTGTGGTTAGACTGTACATTTATTTTGGGCATTTGGAAGCAAAGCTTGCATCGTTACAAATGTAATTGTTTGTGTGTACATATGATTTATATTAGCTGTGTCCTAAAAATAAACATATATTAAACACATACATTAAACGGTGCGTTTACACTGCAGTGGACTGAGTGGAGCAGAGTGGGCATTTTCAATTGATTCCTATGAAAGTCATTGCTCACGCAGTGAATTATAATATTGACAGTGGAATGGAGAAAGTGTTGAGAGAGTCTAGAATTTGAGAAATGCTCAACTTTATGCAAATGAGGAGTGCAAAATACCGACCAGCAGCAAATACCTGGAGTTTCAGGTACGACATTTGTCATGAACTTTTAAAAATAGTTTCTGATGGAAATAGTAAATCATTTTTCAACTGAACATGATTTCATGAGTGATCAGCAGTGATTTTCGATGCAGTTGTTGATGACTTGGCCACTAAGAAGTCCAGGCGTTTGCAGTTTTGAAACAGATCCTTCTTTCTTTCCGCTTCTTTTCTTTCCTTCTTTCTTAGTGTTTTCTCAAAAACACTTATAAACCTGTAGGAGCAATTACTGAAATAATGAGCACTTATCAAACCACTAATTCAGGGGCGCCGCTAGCAATTTTGGGCCCTATGAAAGAATATGAGTTTGGGCCCCCTACCGCACCAAACACACACTATATTGCCCAAAGTATTGGGACACCCCCTTCTAATGAACAGGTTTGACTACTTTAGTAATTTCCACGAGTATAAATCTTAATGTTTAAGCATATAACGATATTCTAGGGAATTGTGTGCTTCTAATTTTATACCAATAGTTTGAACAGGACCCTTTTCTATTCTAACACAACTATGCCTCTGTGTATAAGGCAAGGTTAAAAAATAAAAGATTGATTCAGTCAGTGTGGAAGAACTTGACTGGTCTGCATAAAGCCAAGTCCTAATCCCAGCTGAACACCTCTGGTGTGACTTTGACTCATTGGTGTTTGGTGATGAGTTTTTGGCTCAAGGTCTGCATTTAAAGTCACACCAGAGAGTCCGAATGTAGTATACTTGTTTCTGTTTGCAATAGTGCTACTGTGCTGTAACATAATACAGCTGTACTGGTTAATTACTTTTTTTAAAAATCAGTTAAATTTGATTCTGTTGCATAGAACTGAATACAAATATTATATTGATATTTAATATTAATATATTAATAATATTTTATGTCAAGTTGTATTGTGTTACTTATAATAAAAGTGTGGCTATTTTATTGGCTTGTATTTTGTAAATTCAGTATCATTAAAATTATTGAGTTAAATTAAAAAGTCTTACAAAAATATGTTATATTTACTAAAATAATAAATAATTATTTAAAAGCCGTTTCGGTTTTCGGCCAAGTGCATCCAGAATTTTCTGTTTCGGCCCAGAATTTTCATTTCGGTGCTTCCCTAGTAATACCTATAGACCATCATCACTGCTCTCCCCTCTTCTAACCCCTCTGTGATCAGCCTTACCTGAGCTTCCCAAAAACACCCCTGTCCCTTTTTCAGTTGAGCTCACATAATCCCCTTGAGCATTTTATTTGCCCATTTCGATATTTATAATTAGGCTTTATTAAAAATAAAATGCCACACTTAGTAACTAGCTGTTCATAAAGTTTTGGAAGGCTTATATGACATTGCTGCTGTTTATCAGCACTTTTCAGATGCTTTTCTGAATTGTTTTATCATAAAACAATAAGTATTTTTATAATATTTATATTTTGTTGTACTTTATTATTGTTATACAGAGAAACCTTTACAGCATGAGGCTCAGTGATGATGTTTGCCTGCTTGACATTACAACCACATGAACTGTCATTTGTAAGCATGTATATTCCTTATTCCTTAGTGTAAATCTCATGACTTGTTGCACTGCAATGCTCTGTAGATTTATAATATTTTAAACTTTGCATGTTTCTTTTTTTGTTGCTGTTGTTGTAAATAAAGAACCAGTGTGTTTTGAAATATTATTTTAAAAATTCTTGCAGTGTCTTAATGTGTGACCTGTACAAAAAGAGCAAAAGAACCATGACATCTTATTGCAGGCAGTCAAGTTTTAACAGGGGCGCTGTAATGAGGGGTAAGTTTAGGACGGTTCCAAGGGCCCTGATCAGAGAGGGGGCCTATACAATTCTACAAAGGGGTAACCAAACCCCAATTCACATGTAATTCTCTTTACACAACTGTGAAAAACCTTTAACCCCAAATATAAGCAACGGTGATTAAAAATTGCATGTGTTAAGTGTTACTAACGTTATCATTCCACATGAAGTACTAAAAAAAAAAAAAAAACAAGATCTGAAAAGCACTGGTGTGAGCTTCTCTTCACACTGTATGTGGTTTATATGGCACCATGGTACCATCAACTAGAAATTAGTAATGCGTCTAAGTTTATACAATCTGTTTATTCTTTATAAAGTACTTCCTCTTTCACCCTCCTCACTCTCTCTGTTATATTGGCTCACGTCTGCCGTGGCCCATATTGTTCTGAGGAAAGAAAACAATAGTGATTTCTTCAGATTTACTATAGATCGCATTGACTGCCACTTACAGTGTTGACCGATTCCCTTACGAATGACTCTTACGAACCGTCATTCGTAAGAATTTTTAATTAATCAGAAACACTTACGAATCGAGCGGTTAGGCTACTGGACTGTGGATAATGACTTTACTGTTGTTACTGTGTTATCTTCTACTTGAGGCTTGTGAGACTGAGTTATTGACCTGATGTTCAAATTGAAGATACACCTTTTGTAGTATTTTATAAAATAATAGATAATGATACTTGTTACATAGCGGTCTGATATTTCCGAATGCTCGCTCTCGTGACAACGCTGCCCACATCCGCGTAACTGAAGCCGGCGCTACTTTCTCTCGTATCACACAGCGGACAAGCTCTTTCATTTGGTACAAACAAACACAAATGGTACCATCTTGTGTCTCGTGTCGTCTGTAGGCAGATTTACCTCAGAGTAATTCTGTATTCATATTACTTTGATATTGTTGCAGTATTCATCTTGTTACTCTGCTTTTTTTCTTTTTCTTTTAATTAGCGGAAGCTTTAACTGCCGGGGCTTATTTTGCGACAATGACTCACTGACATATGATATAGGCTATGTTTGTTTGTGTAGTGTTTTTTTTGTTTTGTTTTTTATGCAGAATTCGGACCAATTTTTGGGGATTAAATTTATGGCTCCAAAAGTCTGTGAAAAGTCATTAAAAGTCTTTGTAAATACACAGTAAATGGAATAGCACATGTAGGCTATTGTTGTGTTCTTGTATTTGGCATCATGGTGCCTTTGTCAGTGTTTTGCTGCTGTGTTGTTGTTTCTTCCTGTGTCCTGTGTTGTGAGTCTTCCTCACATATTACAGTGCTTAGTTTCCACTATATGTGAATAAAATGCTTACATTTACAGAAACTGAACAGACTTCTGATAGTAATAAATTATCATTTCAACCCCAACTATTTCTTTTTTAAAGGCACTAAAAGAATCATTTGAATCTATAAGTAGCTACATTTTTAAGAGCAACCGGGATCATAATTATATTTATATTTCAGCAAAGTCTCAGCACCATCAAGTGTCAGAGGCCTGATGGAGACAGAGATCAGCTCTGTGAGTTAGTTTGGTCTATTTCAGCTCAGTGTCACTAACCAGTGTGAGAGGTCAGCAGTTGTTCACTGGTTTGTACATTTTTAACACAGGTTTAACACAGTCTGTGTCTTTAACCTCTTCTCATAATCGGTCAGTATGGAGCTCAGTCAACTTCCTCTTGTGCTCTGTGAGTATTATTTTCTCTCAGTGTATTTCAGTGGATGTTGATTTCTCTTATATTATGAAAATGATACATTGATTTAGTGTTCCTGGATTTTTCTTTGAAAATTCCTCTCAAAATTTCAAATCCTACAGAGCATGTAGGAGATTGTGATGGGAAAATAGGAGATGAGAGGAAAAAATATTGTTCAGTTATTTTGTGTTTGCTCACAAAACATTTCATTCTCTTGCAAAAGTTTCTTAAGGAAAGGCAAAAATTCTGTGAGCAAACCTAATTTTTTCTTCCATCTCATATTTTATTCATCACCATGATGGGGCTTCATAGTAATCCATCCCTAGTCCATGATATATGAGTGAAAGTTTGAGTGTATTTTTAAGAGTCTATATATTTATTTCAGACTGTTTTCTAAACAGTTTTGCCATGAAATCTATAAAATATAAAATTTTAATGTTTATCTGGGCTCATATGAAGTCTCACACACAAAACTGAAACCCACTCAAAACTCAATCTGGACAGATCAAGCTTCTTAAGAATTTGAGGAAACCCGTGTTCTTAAATTGCATCTTAACTTTTGTGATCATATTTTAACCAGATCGTCATCAACACTCATACAGGCACCACTAGTTTTAGACAAATTACAAGAAAAAGAGAAAATTATTTTCTTTTTTTTTCTGAAACTGAGAAAGGTTTGAGTGTAAACTTGTGGTGTTGGACAAGAGAAAGAAGAATATGCCCTTATGTGTTTGATGTATAATACACATTTTATCAGCTCTATATTCACACTGTAATGAGTTTTTCTCTTTGTCTTTTTAGTGCTGATTTCAAAAATCCACTCTGGACACACTGAAGGTGAGAGAATTTGATTCATATATTTGATCTCATATGTGTGATTTTACACTAACTGATACAAACTGGCTGAGAAAATTAGTGTTATGAATGAGTTTAACAAAAATCACAAACCTCATATAAAATGATCAGAAAATAAAACAACTCAGTATTTAATTTGACCTCCTGAGAATGACAATTAGCACTTTCTGAAAGTTGAGCACTTTCTTTCATTTTTTCTGTGTTTTAGGCTCTATTTTGTACTATGTTCTCAGTTTTCATGATAATGAAATATCTATATTTTCTCTTTTTTGGTTATTTTGGTAATAAATTTGAACTATTGGCAGCTTAATTAGTAGTTTTATATTCCCTAATCTACAGGGAGTAATCAAATACATCTCAATTAATGTTTTGATAATATTTTAATATTTAATTTTTATTTCAGAAAATTTTAATTGCACAGACGTAGTTTGCAAACACTGTGGTAGGATGGTCCATGTGTAAATACACCAGAGGAAATGAGCCTGACAGATCAGTGATCACTGACTGTATCGCCAGATGAATCTGTTTATCTCTTTGCACGGCAGACCAAATAAAAGAACTAAAATCAGTTTAAATTCACACATGCGTCAGATAACAGCTCAACTACCATTAGCAGGATTAGAAGTGAGAATACTCGGCAAGTATTTATCGTCACATAATGAACTGCTCTGAGAGCTCAGTGAAAATGATTCATAAAACACTGAATAAGTGGCTATAACAGATATAGAGAAATTGGTTTGTACTTTTTTATTTGTTTAATTGGTTTGTAAAATTGGATATAACCTTTTACAGAAAATATTATTCTGTTGATACAGTGAGTATTTTAATGTTTATAGGTTGGCTCCAATCACTTTCGTAGTAAATGTCTCACTGTAACCCAGAAATTACTATTATTATTATTATTATTTTCAAGAAAAGGAGGGACAAGTGGAAATTATTTTTGTGGTAATAAACATTATGCCACAAGTTGATCTTAACCGTCTTAACTGGACCTGGAAAATTACTTTAACATGTTATTAATGAGTGATTTCTCAATTTCAGTTCCTAGAGCAGTTTTAAGTGTTTCTCCACAGAAGTGGTTGACTGAAGGAGATCCAGTGACTCTGATCTGTGAGGTTTACGGCTCCTCTACAGGCTGGACATTCAGCTGGTACACTCTAACTGCTTCATCAGGTAAGATATAATGTGCTTCATGTGAAGTTGAAAGAAGATGAAAATGTTATATCACCTTTTAAAGATCATGTAGAAATGCATCTTTAAGTGACAACTGCACATTCTTACTTTCTACAGACTACGGCAATCATTATAAGCTGCTCTCAGACAGCAGCAGAGGAGCTGGAGGAAACTACACTGTCAGTTCTGCTGCTCTAAATCACACAGGAGTTTATGTGTGCAGAGCAGAGAGAGGAAAACCAGCCTATAAAACAACCTACAGCAACAAACAGCCACTATGGGTCACTGGTGAGTTCATACACAACTTAAATGATTAGTTCATCTTTAATAAGAGAATTTTAATGCACAATTTTGAAACATTATAGCTGTAATTGTTTGCTCAGGTGTTTCTCCTCCAGTCTCTCTGATCATCAGTCCCAGCAGAGCTCAGCACTTCACATCCGTCTCTCTCTCTCTGAGCTGTGAGGACCAGAGTAACTCTGATAGATGGAGAGTGAGAAATTACACAGACCATTGTGGGATGGAAGATTGTTCATTACGCTGGGCATCCCAAACAGGATCTACATGTACATTCAGCTCCATCACCACATCAAGCACTGGAGTGTACTGGTGTCAGTCTGAATCTGGAGAGAACTATCATCCTGTTAATATCACTGTACACTGTGAGTCTGTGATTATTAACTCCACTGGCATTTTATAATCAAAGCAATCAGGTGTGCGTTTCCCATACAACGACGTAACTCACTGATTAATCACCATAGTATGATGCATTTTTTGTGGAAACGAACTAGCCTGTTTCCCGAACACGGTCGCATCTCCATCGTTTGAACCACATTAGTTCAGCAATTTAGGGCCGTTGTTAATGATGTCACATGCATGTGGTGGAGTAATAACTTCATCTCTGAGATGCTGCTGTATTGAACATGGCACCTGATGGCTAATTTACTATGTTTTGTTCCCTGTCATTTTGCTTTATTTGATGTTTGATTCATCGCGGGTTTCCTCTTAAAGGGGTCATATGATGCGATTTCAATTTTTCCTTTCTCTTTGGAGTGTTACAAGCTCTTGGTGCATAAAGAAGATCTGTAAAGTTGCAAAGACTAAAGTCTCAAATCCAAAGAGATATTCTTTATAAAAGTTAAGAGTCAGCCACGCCTACCTAAAACGGCTCGTTCTAACACACCCCCACATACCTACGTCACGATCTCGGAAGATTTGCATAACGCCGCCCAAACGTTCACGCAAAGAAAGAAGGCGTAACTTATATTCTCGCTGTAGTATTGTTGTTGCCGCCGCCACCATGTCGTGAAGGCACTGTGTGT